GGGCAACATTCTATAGGCTCAATGCACAAAGCCAATACACCGGGGCAAGGAGCGTTTTTTTGATATTTTCAGCTAATAAATGAAATTCTCCAATAGAAGGGATCACTTCAACTCCTAACTTTCTGCAGGAATCAATGGCTGATGTGGTCCAATCCTCTCCTACTGCTAGGTGTGATTTACAGAGGAGGACATGATAGTGTCGTCTATCTCATGATCATCATATTTACCTAATGCTTCATCTTCCTTCTTTTCTTTCCTTAGAAAAGGAAAGATTCTGCGCAGAATGGTCCTTGCGCCCCGCACAATCGTCCCGCGCTTACCCCTCTGCGGGGCAGCGATATCGGGCTCTGCAGCGGGCTGGCGGTCCTCGGCCGAGGGGTCCGCTCTCTGCGGGGCTTCCTCCTTGATGGAATTAGGGGAAACCCTCGCTCTCCTCCACCTAAAAAAATGGTCCTGGCGGTCTTCAGCCGAGCGGTCCGCTCTCTGCGGAGGTTTCTCCTTGATGGAATTAGGAGAAACCTGCGCTCTCCTCCTCCTAAAAAAACGACCCTGGCGGTCTTCAGCCGAGGGGTCCGCTCTCTGCGGAGGTTCCTCCTTGATGGAATTAGGAGAAACCCTCGCTCTCCTCCTAAAAAAACGACCCTGGCGGTCTTCAGCCGAGGGGTCCGCTCTCTGCGGAGGTTCCTCCTTGATGGAATTAGGGGAAACCTGTGCTCTCCTCCTAAAAAAACGCATCATTGTAAAAAATCGCTCAATGAAAACGCTGGCCAAAAAATTGCTTTCTCTCTCACAAGGGGAAACAAAGCCTCTGACTTTGCAGTGATTGTGCGATCCTCTATATAGGCCGGAGGGGAGCGCTGTGACATCACAGCGTCGGATCTGAAATGGGGCTCCAACTGTCACATTGGGAGGGGGCTGGAAGTCACAATGTAGTGATGCCAAGGTCATGTGATATATATTTATTTGGATGTTCTGGTCACCACAATATATGTATATATATCTATCATAGAATTTCCAATCACCCCAATATATACTCAACAGGATGCCCTGGTCACCCCAATAAATCTATATATATATAATGGAATGCTCTGGTCACCCTGATATACAAATAATAGGATACAAGCAAAGAAAAGCACCTTCTCTGGTGCAATATTACTTTATTAGAGACATCCAATGGGAATAGCCATTCTCATCGATCTTTCTGTTGAGTATATATTGAGGTGACCGGAACATTCTATGGTATATCTATATATACAGTACGTCACAGAAGTGAGTGTACACCCCTCACATTTTTGTAAATATTTGATGATATCATGTCATGTGACGACACAGAAGAAATGACACTTGGCTACAATGTAAAGTAGTGAGTGTACAGCTTGTATATCAGTGTACATTTGCTGTCCGCTCAAAATGACTTAACACACAGCCATTAATGTCTAAACCGCTGGCAACAAAAGAGAGTACACCCCTAAGTGAAAATGTCCAAATTGGGCCCAATTAGCCATTTTCCCTCCCCGGTGTCATGTGACTCGTTAGTGTTACAAGGTCTCAGGTGTGAATGGGGAGCAGGTGTTTTAAATTTGGTGTTATCGCTCTCACTCTCTCATACTGGTCACTGGAAGTTCAACATGGCACCTCACGGCAAAGAACTCTCTGAGGATCTGAAAAAGATTGGGCCCAAAGTGTCAATATTTTGTGTGGCCGTCATTATTTTCCACCACTGCCTTAACCCTCTCGGGCATGGAGGTCACCAGAGCTTCACAGGTTGCCACTGGAGTCCTCTCCATGACGACATCACGGAGCTGGAGGATGTTAGAGACCTTGCGCTCCTCCACCTTCCGTTTGAGGTTGCCCCACAGATGCTCAGTAGGGTTTAGGTCTGGAGACATGCTTGGCCAGTCCATCACCTTTACCCTCAGCTTCTTTAGCAAGGCAGTGGTCGTCTTGGAGGTGTGTTTGGGGTCGTTATCATGTTGGAATACTGGCCTGCGGCCCAGTCTCTGAAGGGAGGGGGATCATGCTCTGCTTCAGTATGTCACAGTACATGTTGGCATTCATGGTCCCCTCAATAAACTGTAGCTCTCCAGTGCCGGCAGCACTCATGCAGCCCCAGACCATGACACTCCCACCCAGTGGCGTAATCAGAGTTTTGGGCACCCGCGGCAGAAAAAATGTTCCCCCCCGCCATATTATATATCTACTGGAACTGTACCCCACACATATATATCAGCTAAGGAACTACAAGTCCAAGCATGCCATCATTGTCCCTGTAATCTGGTTGTTGTACAGGGGCAATGAGGGCATGCTGGGACTTGTAGTTCCCTAACTGATATGTTATGAAGCTGTATTCCACCTGAAAGTACTATGGCCTGGCTAGTAGCTCAGGACTTGAAATTTTGAGCCCTGTATATATTATATGAAATCCTAGGAGCAGCCCATTAATGAGGAGCAGGCGCGGGCCCATGTGCTACTGGTGTGCCCAGGGACTGGCCCAGAGCTTCGTGGCACCGAGGACCAGGATACGGGACCCAGCACCGGTCATCTATAGATAATGGTATTCTGCATTGTTGCATAATGTGTTGCTGGGATTTGTAGTGCTCTATAACAAATAGTATTTTTCTGTATTGCTGTATAGTGTATTGCTAGGATTTGTAGTCCTCTATAGCTGGTGGTATTCTGCATTGCTGTGAATGTATTACAGGGATTTGTAGTCTTCTATAGCTGACGGTGGCATTCTCCATTGCTGTATAATGTATTGCTGGGATTTGTAGTGCTCTATAGCTGACAGTGGCATTCTCCATTGCTGTATAATGTATTGCTGGGATTTGTAGTCCTCTATAGCTGGTGGTATTCAGCTGGTGGTATTCTGCATTGCTGTGATGTTTTACAGGGATTTGTAGTCTTCTATAGCCGACGGTGGCATTCTCCATTGCTGTATAATGTATTGCTGGGATTTGTAGTGCTTTATACTTGGTGGTATTCTGCATTGCTGTATAATGTATTGTTGGGTTTTATAGTCCTCTATACAGTTTCAGAACTACAGGGTCAAATAGTTGCTAACCAATATGTCTACATACCCATACCTTTTTATTGTAATATATATAATCATTGCATACCGCATTACTCTCATACTTGTAATCTTATTTATATATACTTTATTAGTTTTTTTTCAGTGGTATGATTTAATGGTGAAAATTATTAGTGCCCCCCCAGTTTTGACTGTGGTATCTTATGTGCCCCCCTATATATTGTTCCTAGAGTCGCCACTCTGCAGTGGGGAGGGGGGCTCAAGATCAGCATTCAAGCAGACTCTGTATGGACAGGTTTTTAGCTCTTCAGGCAAACTGCATTTACCCATAGTAGTCACTCTGAATTCATCTTTTAGTGCTCTGACATCAATAATCCAACATTTGATTTCTTGCTTTTGGTTGCTGCAGTTTATAATTTAGATGCCCAATGTATAATGTTTGCTGTTACTTAAGTATATCTGTAAACGGATCTCAGTAAGGCCTCATTCACACACAACGCAAGCAAAATTGTATATTGCGTATATATACGCGTCTATGCACGTATATACGATGCGTGCACTATTTGCATTGCCAGAATGCATCATTCCTAATGGAAATTTGAATGTACTGTGCGCGTATACATGGGCAAACATGCGTATGCGCGTGAAATACGCAGAAATACGCTGCCCAGACGCATCTCGTTTCCATTCTGTTTTTGCGCATATATACGCTACACAAATATACGGCTCCATAAGCCGCTATGTGTATGGAGCCATTTATTTGCATATGTTGCATATGGTACAATACGCACGTACACGCGTATATGCGCGGCAGTGTGAATGAGGCCTAAAACCGTTTTCCTGGAGTTTTCTAAATATTGTATTGTTATAACCTGGAATTAAACAAAAAAGTGTTGTTTGTTGTGTTTATTAAACTAGCATCCCAATTAAATCCATTTTAATTCTAGGTTGCTAACATTACAAAATAGTGAAAAGTCCAAGGGTGAGAATAGTAAAGTACTGCCAATATAAAAACATAGAGGTAACAAGATGATAAATGAAAAGGAAACAGATAATGTATGGGAAACAAAAAAGAAAATGAAGTGATAAACCCATTACCCGGAGATTTGGGGTCCATTCTTGGATGGACCAATCCAAACACTTGTGTTTTAGAGCATAAAAGCTCTTCCACATAAATATTCTAAGATCTGCATTTGTTTATTTAGCTCTAAGAAGATTAAATTACATATTGAAGAATCGGATTATGAAAGCCAAAAAGTGACATTAATTAGAAGAGAGAGCCGGCCTGAGGCTGCAGATGGATTCTAGCAATGAGCTTATATATCAAAATGTCTTTCATAACACATGTCTGTATTGCTTCATAGCTACCAATTGAAGTGTTAGTTTGATTGGGTATCTTAGGGCCGTTTTATTTTTATACACTTTGCTAAATCGGCTCTATACATTTTGAAACTAGCAGAATGTAGTAGTTGTCATATTGCCCAGTAATATTTTAGCTGTCACTTCTCTAATGGAGAAAAAAAACAACTGTGCTAATTCCCTACTCATTTTGTGTTGCTTAGAATTAAACTAGTTTAACTACAGTGCCAATTGCTCACCATCAGAAACCGTGTAGTGCAAACTGGCTAATGTACTGCGAGTCGAGTGATCACTAAGAGACAATTTAATGTAATGATGTCATGTGATCACTCTCATCCAGTGCAGTGAAAGTTGTCAGTGTGATGTCATGTGATCACTTAGAGACACTATAGTAGTATTTGGTAGTGTGATTATGCTTTTGCAGCTTCTCAAACACAATGAGCATTTTTTGCTAGTACATGGCCTGATCCTACTATGAGTATTCACACGAAGATGAACTTCCATGTCCATATGTGCAACTGTAATGTAACTGGTATGCTATCTACTGAGATATCTGACTGGTGCGCAGTTGTAAATGACAGGTTTTCTTTAATAGTATTTTTCTTTTTTGTAGGTGCCAGACCCAAGAGGCTCCACCGGAACAGTATGGACAGCTTGGACCTAATAAAACTTCCTTCAGAGAAGGTGAGGAACAGAAATGCTTGTGAAAAGCACACTGTAAGACAAAACCTGCTGTCAGCTAGCTAAGTTTCCTCTGGTGTTGTGTGAAAGGGGCTTTAAGAAAAAAAACTTCCTTTTTCTCAGTGTGTAGTCCTCCTGAGGCTTCAGTGAGTTGTACTGTGCGTTACCCTCTCTGTGACAAGCAGCCTAAAGTAAATGTCAAGGCAAACTTTTTATTTTCCATTTTGGATAGAGTAGGAAAGTGTTAAAACCCCTGTCAAATGTGTATTCCTGTCTGTCTCCTTACTTTGTGTCCCATTATTTTATAGAGAATTCCTTTTGGGACAGGAAGAGAAGGGAAATCTCCCCAGTGGAAATGCACACCCAAAATAAACATTGGTTTAAGCCTTTTTCCACTTGTAAACATCTGCTTTATGGGAAACCTGTGCAGCGAGGAATATGTACGCTGCCATTGCTGCCCTCCTCATGATATGCTATCTGACTGGCTGCCTCTGGCTTCCATACCTCCTGAGCCATTGACCTGGATTAACCTTACAACCAGTGAAGTTGCACACTTGTTCCAGCTTAGTGACTCAAAGTATAAAATTGACAGCGGATCAGTATAACACATTGGTACCTAACACTTTTAAATGAAGAGGTCAGCAAAGGCAGTCTGAATATATTTTTTACTGAAGCAAATATCTCCAATCTGTTTTGTCACAGACTCAGAACGGTGATAGCCATCACATGCCAGACCTACGGAAAGACCGGAATACAAGACCAGCAAGGAACAGGAAATACAAGGAAAATCAATGTTCCGCAGACGCCCAATCTCAGGACTGCGCCCCAGTCGACGCTATGGATGTTCGAGTCCAAATGCCACACCTGGTAAGCAGGACGTTATCGTGTAATTTCATGCAAAATAAGAGGATTCTTCTGTTTTCCTGTGTACACTGGCATGGCATTTATTGGCTTCACTGTCTATAATTAAGGGTGGAAAATGCACTCTTGGGGCCATTGTGGACAGGCTCTGTTCACTTCTCTCTATACATACAAGTCTGTGGGAATGCAAAAGCAGCTAGAGCAAGTCAGCTGCACCTGCAATGAATTGTGAGTGGACTCGGATATATCTCAAACTAATGTCCAGAAGAACACAGCATTTACTTATTGAAGCACGTTAAGGCAACACAGCCACTAAACTACTTGCAGCAGATTGAATCATTGGCCAGATTTGTATATTTCACAGGGACTCTACTGTGAATGCTCCACATCTGGGTTCTTGGCTGCCCCTGCCTGCTGCTGATATGGGTCTTACTGAATTTTCCATGCATTTTACATTAGAAGAATGCGATAGAAAGAGCAAAACTCCACAGCAAGTGGTGCCTTTTGGCATTTATATGGGTTACCAAAAAGATGAAAGTGGCCAGTCATAACTGAAATAGCAGAGGTGTTGGGCTGGTTGTAGACTGGCTAAACACTTGGTAAGAATAACCATCTGAAAGCTGGAAATGCTGATGATGCAGTGCATGCAGGATGGAAGGTTGGTTTCCTTTTCTCCATAGAAAGGGGAACAATTGGCGTTCAATCTGCAGAGATTTTCACAACTGTTACTTTATAGGCAGGAAAACCAGTGTTTATCACCACCTTCTAACATTTGCATGGCCACTGACTGGTGGTTTGTTACCTGCATGTATTTATTTTTTCCTGGCTTTGTCACCACTCTGGTGTTTTGTAGTCATGTTGTATTGGGTTTACATGCATTGGTTGTTCATGTTTCTTTGCATCTACATGCTAATGCCAAGAAAGTCATTGCAGGAAGTTAAAACCAATTTTAAAAAAAATCTCAAGATCAAAAACAGGACATTAACGAGAAACTGCCAGATGCCCAGGAAGGCCGCATTCAGGAGTGGGATAAATATATCATCCAGCACTGAAGGTTTCTTGGCCTCTGCTATGCCAAGAAACAGCAACCTTGATAGGTTCCTCTTTGTACATGGGTAAAAATTGAACAAAGAGTTGAGCAGCTTAGAAAACAGTTGATGTCATTTGTCTGTGTGTCTTCATGTGTTTAAAATCTGCTTGAAATGCCCGTGTGTACGAGATCTTAATAACCACAAATGTGCCAGTCTGCTGCTGTGCTACTTTTGTAGAAGCTGCTCATGCAGCCGTGCAGCACACCCGGGCATGTTACAGGAGATTAGGATGACACGCCAATAATTGCCGGGCGAACGTTTAAAGTAAGGAGCATGTCCCATTAACCATTAAAAGAAATACAACAGAGGTGCGGATAACAATGCTTGATTACGCTAATGGAGAGATGAAAGGTGACTTGTCATTAAATTGCCACTAAAGCTAAATGCTGGTTTCTTTGAGTTCCTGAGAGCCTGTTTAAAGCATCCTTTTCAGGGCTGATAAACACTCCAAGGAAATAAAAGAAGTGTTTATTACATTATAGGAGGCGGCTACAGCAACTAAAAAGTTGCTTAATGCAAAATAACATTCAGGAATATCCACCATCCATACAGAAATTGTATGTTTCTTAATCTTTTTCTGTGAATTTGAACACTTGGCCCGGGTTTTACCAAGTGTAAGAGCTTGGGTTCCACTACCTACCTGCAAAAATATTTTCACTCAATAAAAAAACACCAATACATATTCTTTTATCTTTTCAATGTTTGGGCCACAGCTTTTTAAAATTACAAAATAATATTTATATTAAAACTGTAATAAAATAAAACCATTTGACATCTCCCAATTTCAGAAAAACCACATTAAATCAAATGACTCCCGATTGCAAAAACAAAGGCCTTAAAGAAGAACTCTGGGCAAATAAAATCTTAACCCTTGCAGTGGGGTTAAGTGCTCATTTTGTCTAGGGAGCTAAAATAACATAAATATATACTCACCTGAACTGCGATCCCCGCAGCCCCCATGAACCGGTCACTGCATTCTGCCTCCTCCTTCGCTCCAGTAATGGAATGTCCCCCGGCGTCCTCACGTTCTATAAACTGTATTGGACGTGATGGCTCACAAGCCCTTAGACTGCTGGAGCAGAGGGAGAGCGGGGGCTAAAGGGGCCGGTCTAGGATTGCGGTTCGGTATAACTGTTAATTTAGCTCCCTAGACAAATCGAATACTTAACCCTTGCCGTGCACGGGTTAAGATTTTATTTGCCCAGAGTTCATCTTTAAGGCCCCATTCACACATAGCGATATATCGCGCGATTTCCGCCGCGATATCGCGCATTTTTGCCGCGCGATATCGCGAGAAGTCGCCGGCCAATGATATTCAACGGAGCTGTCTTAGCTCCGTGTCGCTCGTCGCGGTCGCAGGTCGCTTCTACAGGACCCTTTTTTCGGCGGATTTTGCTTTTTTCTATGGAGCCCGACGGAGAAGGTCGCGCTACCGTCGCTGGATCGTCTCCCCCGAAAGTCGCGCTATCCCGGCCGCTGCAAAAGGTATGTCGCTACGTGTGAATGGGGCCTAAAGGAGAATTATGAGGCGAGTGATTTTCACTCAGCCTCATAATCTGAGCCGACCTGTGACAATGAAACTGTCACAGGTCGACTCAGTAGATCAGGAAGTGAGCGAACACAAATCCTGTCGCTCGCTCACTTCTCGATCTATCCCTGCAGAGATTTGTGACTCACAGCGCCTTGCAGGGATTCCCCCCCCGCTTCGATCCTCCAGTGCTGACTGGCGAAACGGACGGGGGAGGGGGCGGGCACAGCTGGCTCTGCCTCTGGATAGGCAGAGCCAACTGCAAATACCGCAGCTGGGTGGATCCAGACAGTATTGCCGGGATCAGTCCCAGCTGCTGCGTCTCGGTATATCGCAAGCTGTTTACTGAGCTTTGGGTCACAGGAGAACGCTAGTTTGTGTTCTCCCGTGACCCTTAGGAGAACTATGGGGAAAAGCCCTGACCCCATAGTTCTCCTTTAATGTCCAAAATCAATTCATACATAGAACTATGGGGCACACCTTTTTTGCATCTTTAGCTTCCTAATGATACAAGAGTACATTTTGCAATGTACTCATGTAATAAAAAATGCACCATAAGCTTACAATTCAATGTAATATACTGTGGCCGGGGCTAAGTTCTGTGCTGAGAAGCAATCGCGGGATCCTCCTGTCACATTGAGTGACAGCAGCTTGTAGGAGCTGCTTCAACGTTCATGAGAAGTTTATTAATGTCAGGTCACAAGTCTTTGAACACTAGCACATCCATCCTGCAGTTTGTCCTTTGTCCCCCCTCTCCCCTCCACACTGCTGTCTCCAGATAATACTAGATAATAATAGATGGATGTGGAAGTATTTGTAGACCTGTGACCTGACATGAATAAACTCTGATAGGATGTGCCCTGAGCTGCTGTGCTTGCACAGGTTCTCATGAATGCGCAGCAGCTCCTGCAAGCTGCTGACACTCAATAGGGGAAGAGGATCCCAATAATATTGTTGGGATCGCTTCTCAACACAGAGTTTAGCCCCGCCCACAGTATATTACATTAAATTGTAAGCTTATGGTGCATTTTTGATTATAGGAGTACATTACAAAATGTACTCCTGTATCATTAGAAAGTGGTGAATAAATACCACCAAAATAAAGCTCTATCTGTCCCCAAAAAATGGTAGAAAATTCATTTCAGTACAGCGTTGCATGACGGAATAAATCCATGATTGGTCACCTTGTGGATTTTGTAGGTGGAAACCTTTTTTGTTTTTTACCAGCATTTAAATAGTTTTGAAGCTTCCATTCCTGCTATTCCTGTTCTACACTAGCTACTCTCAGCTGTGCCCTTCTATTCGAGGAAAGCTTTAATAATCGTATCAAATGAGTTAAGCGAGAGGTGAGCTGGAACAGAGGAAGGAGTACATTTGATTTACATGCTAATTATTCACACAATGAGCTGATAGGACATAATTATCTTGTGAGTTTATGAGAGAAGAGGATACATATTGCAGAACAATGCAGAAAATTCGAATACCACAGTGACGACAGGCTGGGGAAAAATGGGGGCGAGAGCAAGCTATAGACATCGTACA